TCCAAACTTGGCCACTTTAAGAGGAGGGGACTTCAACTCGAAGAATCCCCCAGCCAGCAATGGGGAATTCTGGGAGTTGAAGTCCACTCATCTTAAAGTGGCCAAGTTTGGACAACACTGGTCTAGTATATACAAGGCTTCTTTAGAGCGCTGAGTCCATTTATTCAGTAGTTTCAGAATTGTACTGGAACCGGGTTACCTGAGTTCAGGTTCTACTGTTGCCAGGGGTTTTTGTGCAGGGAAAAACCAACAAAAAGCTTCAGCAAAGCGTGATGGAAATTAAACACAACACTTGGTTTGGGATCTAGATTTTTCAGATGATGCTCTAAAGACCAAGCTGCTGTCAAAGCCGCCCCGGTTGAGGACCGGGTGGTGCTGAAGAGGGCCCCTGGGAGAAACGGAGGTGGGGGGGACCCGTGGCTGCAAACCTGGGGGGGGAGCTGGCCTTGTGCTCCTTGGGGGCCGGGAGGTCCAAGGCGAGGCTTTTGGGCTTTCTCGGGAAACTGCGTCAGAGCAGGCCAGGCGACGAATGGCCGGCCGAGTTGGACAGGACAGCAGCTGCCTGCTGGGGGCTTGGCATTCTTTGCTGGGATAAGCCAAGTCCAGGAAGGAGGGCTAAGCCCAGGTCCGTCTGCGGCCCAGGAGGGGGGAGCCGCCCCCGGGGACCAAGGGGATGCCGCTCAGCAGATTAGGACCCCGCGGGGTAAATCCTAGTTACGGGCAGGCAGGCCTCCTCGACCTGCCGTGGGGTCAGGGAAGCAGCGGCTTTCATCCTTTGTCCTTCCCTCCCTGCTCTGAGTGGGGGAAAAGAGGGCCTTGCCAGGCGGGAGGGTCCAGGGACACCCCTCCACTCCTCCTCCTCCTCTTCCTTGGAAAAAGCGCAGCCTCCCTGCCCTGGGTCCTCGGCCCTCGGCCCATTTCGGTTCAGAGAGTGACAGAAAAAGGCAAAATCCTGGGCTTATGCAGACGGTCCCAGATACACGGTCAGCATTTCCAGATGTGCCAGGAAAGAGACTTATAAACTGCCCCCTCCCCAGGACCATTCACCCTGCTCAGGGACTGGTTCGCGCTTTCCACTCAGCCCTGGGGAGCTGGACCTGTCATGGTGGGCAAACCCAGCCTTGGTTTCTGGCTTGGAATGAAGTGGGGACAGCATTGAGGGTTACTGTCAGCCCTTTGAGGTAGCCCAGGTCAAGAAACAGGAATGGCCTTTATCACTGTAGGGTAGAAGAACAGACTCTTGAAATTCTGTCTGAGTTTTTCTCTGCCCCATCTTACGCTAAGCCAAACCAAGGGGGGGTTAGTCTGAGTTCCACTTTCTCAGGAGCGCTGTATATAATTTTTTCTGAAAGCCCCCCCTTCACAGCTTGTTCATTCCTTTCTTATCCCCAAAGTCAGTTCTAAATTGGCTGGTGTGGGTCTTCCGGGCTGTGTGGCCGTGGTCTTGGAGTTTTGTTTCCTAAGGTTTCTCCAGCACCTGTGACCGGCGTCTTCAGAGGGCAGGAGCACAGGCAGGAGAAGTTCTCTCTGTGCCCAGACAGAACTCCTGCCTGTG